AGCCGCGAAGGCAGGGACAGAGGCTCCCTGCCCGGTGGCATGAGCACCCACTGGGTGCCCCAGGATTTTTCCAAACTCCCGACTTCTGCCAAGCTCAGATAAACCATTCTCATTTCAGCCACTGGAGGACACTGAAGTACACGGCCCGCAGCAGCCGTCATCCTCACCCATTCCCCGATGTAGGCATAAGCAACGTGGGGGAGCAGACGGACCCTCAAGCTTTCTTTCAGCTGTTTCAGGAGGTCCTAAAAATCTCGCAAAACCCAGAGCAAAAAGGCCGTTCAAGTTTTATCTCGAAATGGAAAGTCTCAGGCTCTTTTAACCCATAGCACTCGCACACCTTGAAAAAAACGAAGAGGCAGCACACTGCAGACTCTCGCTCTATGGACTGTTTTACAGGTCTGAAATCGGACGGCGCCGCCAACTTTCATGGTTTTATTGCCAGGCACTTGGATTTGTCTTTGGGCCTCGCGCTGGAATCAAGCCAGTCCACACGCATCTCCCCAGCTCTTACGAAATAAGGTAAAACCTCCCGGCAATCCTGGTGCCAGGGAACATTGTAAAAGTCCAGGGGAGGAGGGAAAAAAAAAAAGCCAGAAGGCAAGGAAGAAGAATCCCTTCTTTCTTCTTAACTCCTCACAACACTTTGTCCACCAAAGAAAGCGGGCAACGCTGAGCAAACCCTGCCTTTCCGGAAACGCTTCACCACAGAGCTAAACCCTGCGGCAACCAGCCGACGCTGGAGGAGGGCTGCCGGCTCAGCAGGGCCATGGGCTCACCAGCGCAGCTGAGGAAGGCCTCGAGGACGCTCAGGAGCATGAAAAAAGCATCAAGACTTGGATGAAAGGTGCCGGACAGGCAGAGGCAGTACCATGATCTTCCCCAAGCCAGGGTGGTTGCTCTCCGCTTTGCCTGAGCATTGCTTTGCTGGAGCCGTGCAGCCAGCCCAGACCCTGGCTGACAACTTCAGGCACCTCTGTTTGCACTAAGCAAACACACGCACACACGCACCTCCAGGTCCGTTGGCAGCTCCTGACCCCACAGCCTCCGTCCGTCCGTCCAGCCCGCAGACTGACCTCTCCTTCTTGAGCAGCTCCTGGCTAATCAGGACCAGCTGCCCAGAAGCATCGTGCGTTTTCTTGGTCAAGGCTTCCAGTTCACCCTCCAGCCTCTTCTTTTCCTTTAACACCGACTCTGCCTTCTTCTCTGCACTTTTGCATTTATTTTCCAAAGCTGAGAGAAGCAAAGGACACGGCGAGGGGGGAAGAAAGTTTGCTCAGTCCTTCACTTGCGCTCTAGTCCTGATTGCTTCCTTCCTCATCCCAGTCCTAACTGCACTCGCCTGGTTAGGGCTACAGAGCCGCGGCCCCAGCCGTGAGGACCACAAAGGCTTAAGCAACACTCTGGATCTGGCCCTACTTAAGGATAGATCGACGGAGACAGCCAGGAGCCAGCGGAGGCACACGCAGCTCTGCCTGCCACGGGAGGCTGCACTGCAGAGCTGGCACCAGCCCTGACAGTAGACAAAGGTCCCCACCTGCGCTCCCAGAGGCAGCAGCTGCGTTGGCCGGATCCTGGGGCCGACCGTCCTTACCTCCAGCACACTACATGAAGAACAAGCGCCGTGTGCCAGCTCCTGAGATATTTTAGTGTCCAGAGTCAGCCTGTAGCTTGCAAAGGCTGTTTGCAAAATCCTGCTCACACGCTCAGCGGAGCCCAAAGGCTGACGGCTCTGGGCCAGCACCTGCGCTGGGGGTGACAGGAACGTGCCCAAGCACCAGATCTGAGCCCCAGAGGAAGAGTCCTCCTTGTGCTCGGGCCAGAGCCGCTCAGCGCAGACAAGTCTGCACTCCTGAGATTTCGGGCTCACCCCTTCCAGGCACTTGATTTACAGTTCCAGTTCCACAGCAGTCACCATCTTCTCTCCATGTACTTTTCCTGCCCTGCTTGGGCCTGTAATTAAACATATTGGCATGAACATTAGCATCTAGTAGGTGCCAGTTAATTATTATTATTATTATTTTTTTAAAGGCATGAAGCCTGAAGAACACCAGTCGCCAGTCCCCCGCCAGCAAGGTGCTCCCCAGAGCAGCTGCGCTTTTGGGCATCAACACTACGGTGAAGCAGGCGGGAGCACAGCGGACACCCAAGGGCTGGGCTGCGCTGGCTGCGACCAGGATAGATCATCTGACAAGGGAGGAGGGGACCAGCCCTCGATCCTGCCATGGGAAGTGCTGCGATTGTGCTATGCATGTCACCATCATGCTTGCCAGCACGGGACAGTGCCAGTAAGGGCAAGCTGGGTGTCTGGGCGTCCTGCAGCCCCCAGAAACCCTCCCATTGGGGTCCCCGGGGCAGGACAGCGGAAGCTGCCTGGTGGCAGGTTCAGATGATGGAGACTCCCCCCTACTCTCCCCCTGGCCACGGCCACCTTCCCCCCATCGCAGCCTACACCCCTTGATGTGGCCTGTAAACTGTCCCCCTCAGCCCCGTCACTCCCACCGCAAAATGCCTTTCGCACACTAACAGCGGCGACAGCGCGCACAGCATCCCCGCGGGGCTGCGGGGAGGGCGAGGGACAGCAGCACCACGGTGCCCAACTTTAGCCACAGATTTTATTGTTTAGTAATGAGCTCACCACACCAGCAAGCCAGGACAGGGGTTGATGGTACATGATTACATATCTGTAGTAGTTACACAGAGTGAGATTTGTACAGCTTTTGTACAGAAGAAGAAATAAAATCAATCAAATAACAAAATAGACATTAGCAGTCAAACCATTTTTTGTGTGTGTTTTTTTTTTAATCATACTAACAAAATCTGATAGCCAAAAAATGACTAAGCTACAAAATTGTAATACATACTGTACGGGTAAAAGGTTATCATCCATTTATACACCTAGTATCATCTTTATTCTGGGAACTTACATGAGGCCTATAGGATCTTAGTGTATTAATAATTCCCTACAAGATAGTGTTGAACTGCTAAAGCTGCCGAACAACGGAGTATTGGAATCTTTTAAGACTTTTGCAGTGTCAGTTGCATCGTTTTGTTTTAATGAAACCCTCATGCATCTCTACTGAAAGCCAGAGGAACCGACCGCGGCCGGGGGTAGGCAGTAGCTGTAAAGCCTTGGCTAGCAACGTAGCACCCATGGTTCAGTATGGCATTAGCATGGTACTGCCCCTTGCTCCAGGTGTCTGGATGCTGCAGGAGGGATAAAGCTGCAATCACCATCCAAGACTGCGTGGGGTTCCCCCCCCCCCCTTTAGCCAGTAGGAGAAGAAATCACTAAAATGGAACAGGAAGTTTTCCTTCTCACCATGGGGAATTTATTCACCCAATAATTTCTCAGTCATCAGCAGAAAATCATCACTGACCACTGAAGTAACGCAACTAATAGTGAGTCTAGTGCTGATGTCAGTGTCGCTGTGCCAATTTTTCTTCTCCCAAGGAGTGGGAAGCACAGGTTGCTGGGTCAAACCAGCTGCTGAGCAGCTCACCACCCTGCCCCAATCCTGCCCTAGTCCTGCCTTTAAACCTACAAATAAATAGAGGGGCTGGGGAATCTCTTCCTTGTCCCTTTCCAGAGTTCTCCCTAGTTTGGTCTCTTACCACCTAGAAAGGCCCCGGCAGCCCTGCAGAGGGGCAACCAGAAGTGGGTGCCCTGGGAACCCTACACTCATAGAAAACCCTGGGGAAACCTTGGAATTGGAGAAAGGCAGCACTGCAAGAAGCACTCAGCTTTATCCCGACTCTGCTGCCCTTCAAGCCAGTGGGAGCTGCAGCGCTGACTTCTGAGACCATTCAGGCCAGCAGCAGCACTTAGGGGAACATCAACCGTAACTTCTTAAGAACAGCAGCTCCCAGCTGAGATACTCCAGCTGGAACAATGAACACTCCCTCTGGGATTTTCCTAAGTGTATTCAGCTCCCTCCATCACTGGCCAGAGGCTTTTGGACTCCACTCCTACGATCCCTTGAAAGTCCTAGCACTAGCCAGTGATTGGTGTCAGTCTTCCTGGTGATTAGTAAGAGCTGATTAAACACTTCTGCAAGGCAGGATGGGGTCCCATCTGAATTATTTCCAGCCAATTAGATTCCCCACCCCCTTCTCCCCCTGCAACGAGCCAGACTTAAGCTATGCTTTCTGACCTGCTTTGCTACCCTCAAGTCACCTCCCTCTCTCATCTCTTTGAATTGAGGGAGGATGAGACGAGACAATCCTGCATCAAGTGAGCAGGGACCAATATTTTGGAGCAGGGACAGCCCAGAAAGATTCAGCAACATCATCCCCATAGCAGAATTAAAGCCATGACAACCAAGTTTTTCCAAGTTTGTTTCTGGCTGCCCATCAATCAAGGAAGTGAGAGCCGGGTAACCCACGAAGAAAAAGTAACTCAGCTTCACGAAAAGAAAAATCAGGGCAAAAAGCAATGAAGCTGATGTGTTGTAATACTCATCTGCCTGTGGTCTGGCTCAGATCTCTCTCAATAGCCTCGTCTACCTTCTCCTCTCTCACAGATGTCCCATTCTAGCAGATGAGCTCCTGAAGGATGGGGCAGTGTGGCACTAGGAGAAGCTTGGTTAAACATTGCTACTGCTCTGCCCTATGGTACCGAACAGTGAACTGGACTCTTTTACAGGATGCTTTCTCACACCTTTAAGAGCATATTCTCCCCTTACTCCAACCTAATGTCCCTGGCGAACCGTGGTGCAAAGACAGAGAGCAGAGTAAAGCCTTCAGAAAAAGCAATAAGATCAAATAATCCATGTGCTTCCTTTGCAAGGCCAGCTGGTACCCACTGAGGGGCCATGAGGAAAAAAAAGCAGCACACACCTGCTGTGCTGCACACTCACCCACCACAGGTCCCATGGGCAAAGTGGGGTGCTTGCCTAGGCCTGCACCACACTGCCTGGACCTATGGGCCTTTTGGGCCCCAGTCCTGGATTCCTTCTGCTCCAAAAGTTTGCATGTGTGTCAAGTAGAGGATTTTTGTACCCAAACATAGACAGCCTCACTTGTCTGCCTGGCTACAGCTAGTGAGCTCCTGTCCTGGTCAAGGCCTGTCTTTCACTGTCACACAGTCATGGGGACAAACCATTGGTGCATGAATGCTCACAGCTGCACATTAGCCTTGTCCATCTCTGACAGTAGGGCAGGTGCACTATACTGAACAGCCAAGGATAGCTCTGGGGAACAGCCAGGCAATCCCAGAGGAGTTGTCAAATTGAGCAGGCAGAGAGGGAGCCATCTCCTCTCGGCACGTGTCCTACACTGACCACGGGCAGCATGGAGCTCCGAGGCTAGTGACCCTAGGATTGGGCTGTCTACATGGAGTCTGACACTCGGATAAAGATTAAATACAACCACAGCGAGTCAGGGAGACCAGGCTGGGCAGTCTGGCCACAGCCCAGCACACCAGCAGATCTGCTCAGCGATTTCTCTGCAGGCAGAAAGGCCAAAGGTACACTTGCCCCTCTGAACTCAGAGCCACCACAGATCCTTCCCCAAACAGCAGTGGGTGAGATAAATGAAATAAATATCGCCTTGAAATCAGATTAGATACCACAACATGCTATTATACAAGTACTAAGTGAAGCCTCCACGTTCTAGAACTGAGACATCTTCTACATTGGCACAGAGGGAAACATTTCCCCACAACCCTGTCTTCCACAGCCTACGTGTACCAGCATGAACAGTCAAGGCCAGCAGACTTCACTTGCTCGTGCAGTTCAAGACACTGGGGTGGGTAGAAGGGGAAGGGCAGACCTTGTGAAAATTGTGCAGCCCCTGGGCACATGCTTTGGAGTTTAACACCACAAGCAAATCCCTTTGCAGTTCCTGTGGGGTTATTAGGACTCACTGACATTTCAGCCACCACACAAGGCAGCTGTCATCCAGATCATGTCAGTTAACGGGAAAAGGGCAGCTCAAGCAATACAAATTCCAGTCAAAAATCAATACAGGTAAGAAACCAATCCCAGAGAAATCTTTCTCCTCCTCCTGGAGCAATGGCTGTCTTGGAAAACTGGATTCCAGGATTGTCCTGATTACATCAGTTAGTACATTATAAACATTGTCCTGCTTTGAAGTGAAAACACTGTGTCTAGTCTTTAGGAAATGCTAAAGCCAGATGTGATATTGTTTTTCCTGCCTGCGCACAGGAGCTGATACTGGCGTGAAATGATCCTCTTCACCTCTTCTCTATCAGAGCTTCTCCTGGAAGAAAAGAGACCAGACCTTGTTAGGGAAAATGGGGAGCAGCACCTGGTGCTCAGAAGGAAGCAGCAGCAGTAAGAGATGATCTGATTAGTTATCCAGGACAGCAGATAGTCTTACACATCCAGAGGGATTAAAGGGGGCAGGAAGGTAATCTTTACTTTTCTACAGAAACAGTAAATCTGTAACCATCCATAACAATGATCCCCTTCCATAGCACTTCTCAATCAGTATCTGGAAGCACTTTACAGAGGTGTTTTTACAGAAGGGGAAACTGCACGCGACAACCTCAGCAAGCTGAGGTGCAACCAGGACTAGAGAACCCAGGCCCCCAAATCCTGACCCCTGGCTCTGCCCAGTGAGCCATGCTGCCTTCCTCCTCAGGCTGGCCATCCTGCCTGCGAGAAAGTAAAGCCTGAGGCCACAGATCCTGCCCTACACCATGAAAAGAAGGGAAGGCCAGGACAGTGTGTCCTACAAGCGACACCTGCATAAAGGGGACGGCACACATCGGACCCAGGCACGGACCCAGGAGACTGAGGGGACACCTGCTGCATCTCAGCACGCATCTTGCTAGCATCTTCCCGATGGCTTCGAATGGTTTTAAAGGTAAGGAGATTCTGTGGTGGTCAGTGGCAGCTCCTACAGTAGCTGAGATCTGTTTCATAGTCCTGCAGGCAGCCCTGGTTGTGGCCACAGGGGCTCTGGAGAAGCTGTTCCACCAAGTTTGAGAACAAGCTCTGCACACAAAGCCCCTTGGTCGTGCTGTGGGAATGATATGGTCAAGCTTTGCTACCTTGCTCAGCCTCTACCTGAGACCTGCCCCCAGCCCAGCAGGCAAAAAGTCACATACAGCAGTCATGGCTTTAAGTAATATTTTGCTCATAACTTGCCTCTTGCTTGTGGGATTTATCCTGCTGGTGAATCCCGTTAGCAGATCCAGAATTTCCAACAGTCTGCAACAGAGAACAGATAATACTTACTTTAGAAGAGGGACATGGTTAAAGAGTCCAGTGTCTGCCTGCAAGCACTGAGATCTGGCAAGGCTGCTGTCTCCTCCCATAGCAGCCCAGCACGCAATAGATGCTCCATGCTAAAAAAGCAGAATGCAAAATCCCACGCCACTTTTGGCAAGAAGTTTCATAACCTCTGCATCCTGGCCCAGTTCCCATATGGGCAATCGTATCCTTAATAAAATATCCTCATGGACACAGCCTTGCTCTTCAGTTCTCATTCTCAAAGTCTGATAAACAAATCAGCAGCCAAGGGCAGAGTTCACTGCAAAACCTGGGACAATGAACATCAACAACAAATGCCATTCCCCATTTTCTGTCTCTGGGGACAAGTCTGGCAGGCAGGACAGGCTGTTGTTCTATCTTAAGAAAATATAAGAACCTTAAACATTTATAACATTTCTTCGGCATGGATAACATGGAGTCCTTCACCTTCAAAATGACAGTATAACCAGCACAAACAAGGGAAGAAAGTCACAGCATGCCAGATTTCAGCTGATGGGGGCTCCGTGAACCACTGGTGATAGGAAAGCCATAAGTTATGGGGAGACAAGGCTGCAAAGTTTCAACCCTGTCACTAGAGGGGTTCCAGGTAGCCAGATTTCATTCTTACTGTCACCATGAAGATGCAAACTCTACTCTATAGGATAGAGGTTTAGTTTGGGCAGGAGGAGCGTAGACCCAAACTGAGCTCTGCTTTGAGAGCCTGAACTCTTTGATGAGCAGTGAAACCCACCTGAACAGATGGTAATAACACCACCACAGTAGTGGCTTAGCCCTGGCATACTATGTGCACAATCAAAGGCAATACTGCCCTGCACAAGGTATTATCCCTTGGCTGCAACACAGCGCGCGCACCAAGAAGCTACCAGCTTCCTTGTTATTTCCTGCAAGGCTGCAAGATCTGGATCTCCCAAGACACAGAGATCCTCCTCTTCCTTTATTATGGGATGAATATTTCACAGCTGCAGACACAGGAACAGCAAAGTAGCAATTACCTGACAACAAGATGGAGACATACAGTGCCATTATGTCCCTAACTCCTGCACCTCTTCATCTAATAGCAAGGCTAGGCATGCACATCAAGGACTCCAGAGCATACTGGCTGACTGAGCCAGCAAAGGCAGAGCAGCAGCAGCTTGCGGTAATTAGATTTCCTTCTTGAGCATGCTGCAAAGTGAAGGCTTGGCAGACAAAGGGTGAACAAGGCCAAGCCAGATCCCTGGGCGACAGCTACCACTGCGAGAGAGGAGATGAGAGGTGAGAAGGCAGTGAAGAATGGGTTAGGGCTGAAATGTGCCTTCTAGAGAAGAGCCAACAGTTTCCAGACTGTCACATCAGGATCCCTTTAGGCAAGCAATGTCCTCAGGCTCAGCCTGAAAGCCCCTAGTTAACAACTCCCCTTGCAAGGGGAAAGGATGAACAGATACCGCACTGATACTAGAGAGTTTTGATCCAGACTTCCATGTAACTCAGGAACTCCAAGTCTGACATCAATTGACATTAGAAGCCTGACTTCCCTTTATAACCATCTCTCTCTTTGTACCTTGTTTGTAGTTGAAGGCCTAATACTATCTTGTTGCATCTCTAGGGTTTCCTAAGCATGAAAGTGTTGAAGTAATACCTGCGATAGATTAGCTGACCTCATAAGGTCCTTTCCAACATTTTTTTTTTTTAATTTAAAGATTAGTTATTTTCTACAGTTGGGGAAGAAATAATCACCTGTGTCACTGCAAGAGGGAATGTGAAAGAAAAGACTTCCAAGCTCTCAAGGGGTTTAGCATTAAAACAAAGAGGTAAAAGCCTTCCGCACTCCTCCCAAAGGTTACAGATAGATTAGAGTCGTCATGATGCATTTTCATTTGACACACGGCAATTACAGCACAAACTAAAGTCACTCTGGAGGTACTGACAAGATTATGGTACATCTTGGACTGCCACAAGCCTGCCATCACAACCACAGCTGTGCTGTGTGGTGCTGGCAGGCGGCTGCTGCCACTGCACAGCAGGATACAGAGACTATCTGCAACGCACAGCCCCTTGGCTGAGCCAGGACAGCTTTCAGGGCTGCGATTTTTACCTTGCATCCTCTTCCTGACTGCCTCCTGCCAAGTACTACTGCAATACAAACTGCATCTTGGAGCACCTACATGCTCTGCAGAAGACAGTGTCATGGGAGGAAGAGAAGACATGATAACCCACATTACCTGCCACAACATATCTACACCTGCATCAGGGTAAACAAACTCTCCGCTCATCTGTGTCTAGAGGTTTTTTCTGTACTATCCTACAGTGTCTGCCTGAATGCAAATTACAAGAGAAAGACATTTTTCAGCTATGAATTTAAATGAGTAAGTATCAGATAAGCACCGGAGCATCCAGCCTCTGAAAGCCATGACCCGACTGCAGACCCAGGAGAAGGTACCAGGGTTGGGGGCAGGGGGGAGCTTGGCATAAGAGGCAGGTCACACCATAGGTAAGAGACAGAAAAGGCCAAACATGGCAAGAGACATCAAGCTTACTGACATCAAGCCTCCATTTTCACAAGGAAGCACATGACCTTCCTAGCAAAATACTAGAAGCTGTTTTGCTTTTCCTCAGAGGAAATAAGGGGAAGCTGGAGGAAGTTGGGAAGATAGCAACTGGAATGGGAGCGCTCATGGTCCAGCAGCAGACCCAGATCAGGTAGAAAAGCAGCTCCAGGAGCTGCTAAGAGAAAAGTAAAACCTTTTCCCAGAGCCACCTCCAAAGTTTGTGCTTAAGGACTACAAGAAAATAATCCTCTCAGCAAAGAACAGAGAAGATAAGCCCTTAACTTTCACTCATTAAAGTCATTCTAAAGGACATTATCAATTAAAGAATGTCATTGCTTGCAATTTATTCTGTTTTGAAATCCAACAAGAAAGTCATATTTGTCTCTTCAGAAGTCTGTTTGAAATCAGTTACAGCACTTCCTGAAGAATGCATCAGGCCATTATTTTTCTCTCTTTAAAGAGATAAATAAAGGTCTGCATGTACACGCTTCCTTTCCTTCCCGAGGCAAGGAAATGCAGCTTTTTCTGGGTGAATTTAAATTCTCCCCAAAACCCTTCCAGAAACTTTGTGCTCCTAGCGTAAAGATATGCATACACCACATCATCATAAGCATAAAGAAGAACAGTTACTCACATTGCAACTTGCCCAAAACATCACATTTAGTAACTGTTCTTGCAGAGTGTAAAAGGCTCTGGTAACGACTAAGTAGCAAGTCTTTTGTTAGTTTTAAGCTACACCTGGAAGAAGCAAGTACTGCAAGGCTATTTCCAGTGGAGGTAAAAGGAAACAGCTGACCACATCACAACACAGGGTAAGATCCCAGGAGATTGCTCAAGACAGGAGACTGCTGAGGGCTGAGCAACATGGGAAACGGCAAATGCTCTACCTGTGTCTTTTCTGAGGAAAGCCTCATCGCTTCCATGAGCTTCTCCATCTGATGGCCCTGCTCCAGTGCGTTGCGCAGGACATCCTCTGTGCTGACAAGCCGGTGCTGCAGCCGGATCACCTCTGACTCTGATGAGGGGTCAATCAGGGAGTACCGTCTCTGATCTGTTACTGATTTTTCCTTGTCCTTCACACAGGAAAGTGAAAACAGGCACATGTTATATTTTAACAATGATAACTGTAGAAACTAAGTGGACTGCAAATCCACAGTAATTAATATAACTATATTTTGTTTTCAACAGTAGATAGGGTCAGAGCACACCTCTGAAGACACTCATATCAAAGGCAACAAACAGCAGCTCCAGTTTGTTCCAAGCGGAGTTCAAATAAATTATTCACATTTCAACCACTGGAGGACACTGAAGTACACAGGAATTAGAGGATACTGTTTTTACCCATTCTCTGATCCAGGAATAAGCAACATGGGATAACTGGCAGACCTTCAATTTCTTCCAACAATTTTAGCCCTATTTAGCCATAGATCTAAATCCCATGGGAACAGGACAACACTGGAGAAGGAGAGATGGACATTTTGTGATTAATGAGGTGCCTGCTAAGCTAGTCCACAAGCTCACAAGCACAGTTAAGGAAGTTCCCCTGGGACAGTAACATGAAAAAAGCATCAAGACTTAGCATAAAGACCATGGGCGCAGGACAGGCCTGTGCCTTGATGCTTCTCAAGATGGTTTCTGTGGTCCCTGTGTCACGAGAGACACACAGCCAGCCCCTCATCTTGGCCATCGTTTTCATCGTTTTCACTGAAAATTTCAAGCACCTCCACTGTCGGGGCTCAGTGGAAACCCGAAGCCAGCACTGGCAAACAGAAAACTGCAGCTTCCTCTCTTGAACAGCTGGAATCCCTCTTGGCTCATCTCACCTGCCCCTGGAGCAGCACAGGGCCCTCCCAAGCCCAAAGCCAGGAGGCTTTGCTCACCAGCACAACCAGCTTCTCACGCAGCCCTTTGATGTCATCTTTGAGCTTCTGCTCCTTCAGGCGCCACTCAGCTTTGTGGACCTCCCGGCTCAGGTCCCGCTCTGGCCCTGGGGAGTGCCGGTTGGCCTCCAGCAACAACGCTCTCAGCTCATTCAGACTCCTGCAAGAAGCAGGACAGAAGAGCAAAGGTGTTTTGCAAGGGCCGTACAACAATGGCACTGCAGCATCCAACCACGCTCCCTCCCACCTCAGCTAGAGCTGACCCAGAGAAGACCAGTCAGCAAACCTGACCCAACTCCCACCACTCTGGGAACTTCAGATCTCCTCTCCTCCCCACGGTGCCAGCTTTAGAGACCAGCACCCGCACAGGACATCATGCTTCAGACAGCACAGTAGTCAGCTCAGCTGGCTTATTGATAGGTTCCTTCTGCCCCTATGTGGGCAACAAGTTGTGCCTTGAAGGTCCTGTTGAGCAGTGAAAGAACTGTGCTTTCCATAATCCATAGCCCCAGTTCAAACCAAGCGCCCACATGAATATCTTTAAACAACACAAAAGCTGGGGGCCAGATTTCAGCAATTTAGGCCATCGATTTCTTTTGGCAGGAAGTTACAGCACTAAGCAAACACACACACAGGTCTGTCGGCAGCTCCTGACCCCACAGCCTCCGTCCGTCCGTCCAGCCCGCAGACTGACCTCTCCTTCTTGAGCAGCTCCTGGCTAATCAGGACCAGCTGCCCAGAAGCATCGTGCGTTTTCTTGGTCAAGGCTTCCAGTTCCAACTTTCATGGTTTTATTGCCAGGCACTTGGATTTGTCTTTGGGCCTCGCGCTGGAATCAAGCCAGTCCACACGCATCTCCCCAGCTCTTACGAAATAAGGTAAAACCTCCCGGCAATCCTGGTGCCAGGGAACATTGTAAAAGTCCAGGGGAGGAGGGAAAAAAAAAAAGCCAGAAGGCAAGGAAGAAGAATCCCTTCTTTCTTCTTAACTCCTCACAACACTTTGTCCACCAAAGAAAGCGGGCAACGCTGAGCAAACCCTGCCTTTCCGGAAACGCTTCACCACAGAGCTAAACCCTGCGGCAACCAGCCGACGCTGGAGGAGGGCTGCCGGCTCAGCAGGGCCATGGGCTCACCAGCGCAGCCGAGGAAGGCCTCGAGGACGCTCAGGAGCATGAAAAAAGCATCAAGACTTGGATGAAAGGTGCCGGACAGGCAGAGGCAGTACCATGATCTTCCCCAAGCCAGGGTGGTTGCTCTCCGCTTTGCCTGAGCATTGCTTTGCTGGAGCCGTGCAGCCAGCCCAGACCCTGGCTGACAACTTCAGGCACCTCTGTTTGCACTAAGCAAACACACGCACACACGCACCTCCAGGTCCGTTGGCAGCTCCTGACCCCACAGCCTCCGTCCGTCCGTCCAGCCCGCAGACTGACCTCTCCTTCTTGAGCAGCTCCTGGCTAATCAGGACCAGCTGCCCAGAAGCATCGTGCGTTTTCTTGGTCAAGGCTTCCAGTTCACCCTCCAGCCTCTTCTTTTCCTTTAACACCGACTCTGCCTTCTTCTCTGCACTTTTGCATTTATTTTCCAAAGCTGAGAGAAGCAAAGGACACGGCGAGGGGGGAAGAAAGTTTGCTCAGTCCTTCACTTGCGCTCTAGTCCTGATTGCTTCCTTCCTCATCCCAGTCCTAACCACACTTGGCTGGTTGTCTCCACGCAGCTGCACAGAGCAGCCCCACAGGCTTAGTGACACTCTGGATCTGGTCCTATTTAAGGGGAGATCTCAGAAACCTCAAACCAGGATTTATTTATTTCTCTATTCCTTTCGGCTTCTAACATTCCACAGGTCCAGATCCCTCCCCTCAGGACACAAACAGCTTTTACAGGATTTGTGTTGCTCTGAAAAAAGACTGGAACTCCTAAACACGTATTTATCAACATTGTCCGCTAACAGGTAGGCAGTGCTATGCTTTAATGCATGCACATTACTAGGCATGTTAGCACTTGGGCCCTTGCGCAGAGAGGTACAAGGGACAAGCATGGAAATACCTAGTTCCCACCAGTGCTGGATTAGGGAAACTTACCACTTACTTGGGCCCTTAGAGTTTCAGTCTGGGAGACCAGCGATGACACCTCTTTGTCTCTTTTACTCAGCTTGTCTTGGAGATCTTCAGGAGAACAAAAAAAAAATTAAAAGAAAGTTTAAAAAAAAAAAAAAAAGAAAAGGACAAGACCAGGATTAGAAGCTTGGAAAACGCCTCGTGCAAGTCAAGAAGGTATCGACTGTATGGCAAGGCAGTCCACCATGCAGGCATTAGGAGACAAGATATATACCGAGGAAGCCATATCAGACAGGTATGGGATAGCAAATAAGGGTTTAAAACACAAACAAAACAAAAAACACACACATACACAGAAGGGAACTTCCAGCACATTTCCTCGTGTTACATATTACACGGGAAGGGAGAGAATTTTAAGAGATGTTTCCTTGCTCAAAGAGAGCTCTACTTGAAGTATGATGCTTTGATGCTCAAGTCTGAGCTGGGTGTCTTCAGTACCTCCAGTATATGGTTTATTCAGGGTGGAAACTACATGCACATGGACTGAGTGGCCACTTTAAAAGCAGGACTGCTGGCAGGTAATGGAAGAGGGAACAGGTCCTAGTTCTTGCATTCTCCCTCATTACTCAGGGATTACTGTCAATCAATATATAACTTGGTATAACATGTGTCACCCTGTACCTGCAAAGACAGCGATGAGAGACTGAAATAGGACAAAGCATCTCTGTCTGAACCTCTAAGCAGCTGGAGGACACTCAACTAACCAGAGTCTCTATTAAGTGAAATTTAAGCCCCAGAAACCTCCATTTAGACTGCTACAACCTCAGCAGGACTTTAAAAAGGGCTTTGCAGGGAACAGACTCCTTAGAGGTGAATAACTGACAAAAAAGAAGTACATCATTGTAGGCCAAATGCTATTCAAAAATAGAAGTGACAAGCTTAGTGCTTTAGAGATCACCTTTGTGATCTACACAGGCAAGGCTTTTTGCTTAAAAACAAACCTAAGGAAGAATGAGGAAATACAATACAGCATCCCAGAAATGAGCGCAGGGAAAATTAGGTCTGGAAGCACCTTACACGACTTGGAATAGGCCTGAACCCTGCAGAGACAACCAAAATCACACACCACACACAGTGAAGTGGTGGGACACCATTCCCAACAGAGACCATCTGGGCCATTCAGCTCGAAGCTTGCCAGTTCTGCTGCTGCTCAGATTTAAGAGTTACGGCTTTCCCTCTTGGGGGGGGGAGGCAAGTGTATAGATTCAGTGTTTCATTGCAAGGATAGATTTGATTTACAGCAAGCTTAATAAAAAAGCAACTCCCATTATTTTAGCGACTCATATTAATATCTGCCATTAGCAGTACTTTCCTCGAAAGAAGTTACGCTCAACAGGCTGGATTTTACCTGCTGTGGGATGGAAGCGTGTCCATTTCCCCAGATCTGTCTCCACCCCATACCATCTGCGTGGGGAGTGTGTAACACCAAAATAAAGACACCTTCCCCTGCATTTGCTCAGTCAGATTAGAGGGGAGAAAAGGCCATCTAAACAACAACAACAACAAATGCCATCTAGCAAAATAAAGAGATGAAATGATTTCTTAAGCCCCTTTTCACAGGGCTGTCCCAGAGAGAGCAGAGAGGCAGAGGAAGGGAAGGGAAGGCACTAGAACAAGCTGTTCCAAGACAAAGACAATAAAATTTCATACCTTCCATAGTCTGCTTCATCTTTATCTTTTCTTCTGAAATATCATTAGTTTCAATCATCTGAAATAAATTAAGATATCAGATATATAACAGCCAAAGGTCCAAAGGTAACCCAAAGTTTCAAAACAAAGTCAGCAACCACAGCGTGAAGCCCCGTCCAAAGTGGTAGGCGTGCAACTGGCATCCAAGCTATGGTGTCTTAGTATTTTGAGAGTCAAAGGTACATCCATCTCAGAGGGAAACAAAGGCTTTTGAGGACTCAATTCTACTCTGAAGTGTTACTGAAGATAAACTGGCATTATCTGAGTGCCCTCACACAACAGCCAGTGGAGCACAACAACAGTGAGACTCCCTCAGGAGGGGAAGGAGACCATGCTCTCCTCCCAAGCTCCACGTCCAGCTTTCAAACACCCCGAGTTTGCACATAGCGATGGAAGAGCTGCTCTGGTTTGCACCAGTCTCCTGCAGTTAATTACAGCACATCTTCAGCAGAGACAAAGGCACTCTTCAGCATTCAACTTGAGACCTATCAGCCACCTGCTTCTTCAGCTTCTGAAGGACCTAACTGTGCCCAGAATTATAAAAAAAAGTTTAAGAAAACACTGGTCCAGAGAGAGGGTTCTGCCTTCTCCCCACCCTCTTGTCTAGGCTGCAGGGAAAGATGCAAAGCCAGAAACCACAGAACTCACAGTGTCAGCAGCACAGTTTAACTCAGCCAGCAATAGGGGTATATTAGACCCCTGGCTCAGCCACCCCTCCACAAACACACACGCTCTGCATGCTGTCACCAGCGCTGCAAGTCCCCCTTTCAGAAAAGCACTCAAGGACATCTTTAGCTTGACCATAACCTCAGTGAAGCTTAAATATAGAAAACATTTATGTCTTTTCATCACACACAAGTGTTTTGCATTTAGGTAGCAGTTCCGTTACACCTTGGAGTAACGCGGAGCTACGCAGAGGTCTCCTCCCTGCGGAGGCCTGTGAACACGCACAGGCTTAGTGCCCCGAGATTGCTAACAGGACAATGCCACCCCAAAACATTAATGACAGCAATAAAAACACTGCAGGCATTTAGCACAACAAATGTTGCTGGAAGCCTCAGGAAGGGCATGAAGACTGATGACCTTCCTGCTTTGAAGTGACAGCCCTATGAAAAAGGGAGACAAACAGCATCAAACCAAAGCAAGCTCACCCTCCAGGGGGGACAAGAGCCACAATAGTAATAGGATGATACGCGGGTGCTCTCAGACTCTCCTGCTCCCAGCAGCATCAGTACCAGTCCTGTCGTACTCGTACCTACTGTTCGGACACCCACCAGAGGCACTAGTCATCACCCGCCTTTCCACCACTCTCTTTTTCCCTCCCCAGGAAATCCTGTATCGCACCTCTCTAGAGCCAGTGCAAATACTGCCCCAGGGGAATCCCAAGCAGCCTAGAGAGAATTGTGATCATGTTGCACAACCCCTGAACCAAGAGAGATCTGCCCCATCCCAAGAAACTTTATATCCCTGTTCCAAATAATTTCTCCCTGGGCCAGGAAACGTTTACCCTAAACTACCACTCAGGTATACACAATTGCCTAAAAGCCCATTCCTCAGTTTCCAGAATTAATCTCAAGGCAGGCCTGTTGCTCATCTGGACAAGAAATTTTGGTGAATGACCAATTTTGGTTCCATGCAACTGTCTGCCCTGGACTCCTAACAGATGACAGCAGTGATCAGAAGTGAAGCTTTCCAGAGCAGAGGCTTCAGTTCAGCACTTGGAGCACGTTCACATCCAGGTGCCTTTGCTGAGACCTCTGCATACACCTGACATCAAGTAGTTGCTGTGACTACCACTACTGAAAGCACTGAGGTCAGGCTCCAAGAGTTCAGATGGGCTGCAAGATATATACATATTTGCTAACTTGAACAGAAGCAGGAGCACACCCAAAGAGGGAATTCACTGCCTGATGCACTTTGGGGAGGGAAAACTAACTGCTCCTTGGAAACATGCTTACAGTTCTCATTTGAAGACCTAGGAAAGAAAAAATATTCATGGTCACAAAACATGTGTTTGTTTAAAAATATCTGGATAGTTAATACTGCAGTCGCATTAAATTAGCTCAGACATTTAAAAACAATTTATTTTATGACACTCAAAGGCTTTCACCCATGCACTTCTTGCATTTTCTTGATTTTAATCTACACACAGTTAAATTATTTCAAGACCCCCTGGTTCTAGTCGACTACCGAGAAAATCTGAGAGCCTTCTTGCTTATTTTGAAGGGCTCTGAAATAAGCCTCCAGTTTCTTCCTTTGCATTTCACTCTTCTTTGAATCTCGGCTATATTATGCTGATGCCCTTTCCCAGGGCCCTGGTTCCACCTCTCAGTACCGCTGCTCATCTCCTGCCTTTGCATCCGTATGCTTACTGTTCATGACTGTCTGTACTAGAGGAAACATGTCAAGCAATCCTTGAAACACCATTAACGCAGTAGATTCCTCCTCATGCTTTTGCCTCTCCTGTCTGATAGAGCATGTCTTTTTGTAAGCATGAAGCCCCGACTCGGCCAACAGTAATTCACTGTCTTGACCTCGCTGCCTAATGGTGCAACTGATTCCGATAGGGCTGTCCATGGTGGCAAATTAAACATGTGCCTTGTATTCACTTGATTGGTACCTCACAGTCTAGAGCAGCAATGACATCCTTGAGGACAGATTTCAAACAAATACTCTTAAGATATGCACATTTCAGGACTTGCTTTCACTCTCTACATCCCCATGGGGACAAGGGGTGCCTCAAGCTCCAAGTTAGCTTTTTGTTCATTTCATGTACAAAATCCAAATACAAATAGGCATCCAGTGTAGAGCCATGAATAGCAATCTCCCCCCCTCCACTGTCTAATGCAAAGGATGTGAGCCAGCCATGAACAAATGCGTCCCTGTGCCATCCCATGAAGGCAGACTGGCACCCTGTGACAAAAAGTCAAAGTCAAAGAGGAAAAAAAAAAAAAAAAAGTAAAAAGACTCAGAGACCACAGATAACTGACCTCATTGTGATACTAATGGTTTTACTCTAGTCTTCCCCAGGAGGCTCAGAACTTGCATTCAATCATTTTATTTCTCAGGCCTGTCCCTTGCTGTATAGTCTCCAAGGGCAGCGCTTCCCATGTCTCCTGGGCATGCTGCAGTGGGCACGCTGCAGGGTCTCCCCTACAGTCTCTGCTACATTGCTGGCATGCACCTTCCCACCCAGCTGATCAGCTCAGCCCCTGACTGACACTCTTGAATCATGCTCCACGTGCCAAGCAAGCCACATGCAGTCTCTCAGCATAGGCAATGTGTCTTCTTCCTCTCCCCATCCTCCACCTACTCCAAGGGCTTGGCAACACACTAAGGCTACTGCAGCTTTTTGGAGGACAACAGCTGTATTGTACAAATGATGCTTTTTTAACTAGGAACGCTTGCTTGCTCACGCTGAAAACCTATCCCTGCCAAACCACTTCAATGGCCCTGGTTCTGCTGCCACAGCAGTAATATGGCTTCAAACCCAAATGTGGCTCAGTTGCTTCTCTCGCCTCTGATTTCTTCTAATTTTGCCACTGTATTGGCTTACAGGCACAGGAACACATCCTCAGCATGGGAGCGCAGTGCAGAAAAAACAAATACTATCAATGGAAGGTAGAAACAGTCAGATGCTTTGAGGCACAGAAGCCTCAGTAAATTGCACAAGACAGCAGCTGAGGGCTACTCCCAGGAAGGGTTATTAACAGTGACAACATAAATAAGCAAAATGACCCAAAAGTCATACATTTGCATGCTGAGAAGGATGCAGGGCCTCCATGGACTGCAGTTTGTTCTCTAAGACAAGCACTTTTTCCTGCAATCTGTGGATCTCCTGTTTGCTCTGGGCTTCTGTTTTCTGCAGCGTTTCATAGTCCAACATCTTCTTCTCAGCCAAAGAAATCTGCTCTTTTAAGAAAGCTATTGCTTGTGTCTGATCTTTATATTCACCATGAAGTTTCTCCAGTTCATGCACCCTCAGCTCAGCATCTCGACACTTGTCCTTCACATCCTGGAGCTCCAGGAGGTGCTGATTGTTTTTGGCTTCCAGTTGCATTCTCCAGTTGCTGTTGCTTTTTTCTACTTCCTCCACAGCCTCCTGCAACTTCAGCTTCAGGCTCTCTTTCTCCTTAACATGAACAGCCATCTCAATGTCATGCTTTGCTTTCAGGTTCTCCATTTCAAGCTGGTGCTCCATCTTTATACTCTCCACCACTGCTTTCAGTTCCACAATCTCCTTGTGCTGGGTGTCAGGCCCTGTGTTCAGTGTGGCTTTGAGGTCCTCCAAAGACTTCTGGTGGTCAGACGCTAGCGTATCCAGCTTGGACTTCCAGTTATCCATGAGCCCCATGTTCTCATTAGTGGCTTGCTGAACCTTATGCTTGAGGTCAACTATTTCCTGTGAGTACTTCTCATTGGTGGCTTTCAGCTTCTCCATCTCCTGCTGGTACTTCTTCAATGTCTTCTCGTACTTCTCCTTCAGCTGGCTGCTCTCCTTCTGATGCTCCTTGTTGGCAGACAGCAGTTGATCTCGTAGACGAAGGGCCTCTGACTGCAAGCCAAGGTTATGCTCGGGGGTCTCTGCTTGGTGAGAGCTTCTCAGGCACTGCCGGAGCTCATCCACCTCACTGCGCCTGAGGCTCAGTTCCTCCTCCAGCTGCAGGATTCTGGATTTCTCTGCTACTGTGGTTAACTGCAACATGACAGAGAAGACAAAAATCAGTCCCTGCTCTCACTGCTTCCTTTTAGTAAGCATGCTCCAGGAGATATATAACCAAAGTACATTAGTCAAAGTTTAAATAAAAAGGGAAAGAAAACCCAACACCCTCTAGTCTGAGTACAGTTTTGCACCAGGGTAATTATCACTAATGAACTATGTTCAGTTATGTTTTTGTGCCAATTGCAATTTATTTTGCTAATATGAACCCCTCATTGTCAGCAGAGGAAACAAACGTCTTTGAAACAACCCCTGAAATTTTACCTAGAGTGGAACGCAATGTGGAGAGCAATTTATTAAAAATAATGTCCTGAAAGACCATTATATTTCCAGACCAGGCATCTTGCCAGATAATGCACAGAGGAAATGTGACTGCACATGCAGGACTATCACAAGCATTGACATCAGCATCAAGCATATCATGTTTCCTTTATTGCTCAGCAATCCTCAGCCTACAGACACCATTTCGGTATTATGGTTTGTTTACCCTGGTGTAAAAACGATAAGGGATTTTACGCATGAGTGCTTGTTAGAGTTTATTAGCAAAGTAAAAATAACGCAGTAGGCTAGAGGATGCACAACAATAAATTCGGCCATGGTTAACATGGAGCATTGGGCTATGGATCAGTTTCTTGCAATCCGAGTGTAACCTAACAGGACTGAACTACCTGCTAGCCTTGGCGAGTCTGAACTCGCCAGGCTGAGGCTACGGATTTGGAGTAAGAGATCTGACCAGATGAAATATTAGGAAAAGGCTGAAGAAACAAAAGACACCAAGCAGATCTTCCAGCGTAAAGGCCACAAGTGATCAATTCCATTTCATTTCAGTTGACATTTTCCTCACTAATCATTAGCCCAGAAGGCTGAGTATTTTTGATTTTAGATGGGAAGTTGCGGGGGAGTGAACGTGTTTCAAAATATTTAGCCCTTTTAGAAAACCTCAAGTTGGCGTTTTCCACAATAGTAACAGATCTGTTGATGAGAAGCAGGCTTCCCACACCACACATCACCAGCACGAAAAAGCCTTTCCCGCTTCTGGTTGTTTTAGGATCAAGTGCACTGTTCGTTTAGGCAACAGTGGGCTTAGCACACAGCCATGCCCAAGGATCACAGCTGTTTCGCCTGGACTCACCACCACCATTTTCCATTTCAAATCACAGCTCCCACAGCTGCAGGGGGCCACAGGGAATGCTGATTGCAATGTTATTTCCTTTTACAGCCTGGGGAAACCTCTGGGCTGAATGAATTGTGCAGGGTGCAGGTATTGTTCAGATATATTAATTGAATGGTGAATCGTGAAGAGCTCATGTGTCAAATGGTGGCACGGGACAGAGAAGCAAACTCAATCTGAGAAACAAGTCCCCACGCAAAAAACAAAGGCAGAAATTATGCAGTACTACTGCTTCCAGGAGGGAGAGCAAATAAAAAATAAAAATAAAAATAAAAATCAGGGAAGCCTAAATTCAAGCCAAAACCAACCAACCACACAAACCAAAGAAACTCAAAGCGAGGTGTCATGAGCATCCACGCAGGGGGCAAGCAGGCTGTTCTGCAGGCAGGGTAAGTGGGGTTTGGATTACCCTGGTGTCCTCTAATTCTTTGAGGAGTTTCTCAGCCTGTGCCTTCTCAAACAGCAGGCTCTGCTCGAGCTCCCGTATTCGGGCATGCTCCAACTGCGTCTGAGTCTGGTCATACATAGGGAAAAAAAACAACAGTGGAGATGGAGGGAGGGAGGAAGAGAGAGACAGAAAGAAAGAGAGTGAAAGAGAGAAGGCTGCAACATCATCTTCAGTGTACAAGGCAAGGAAAGGCAGTTCACAACAGGAGGAGACTAAGAGATCCAAACAAGCAGGAAAAATCCATCCAAACAGAAAATAATCGCTATGGGACTTTACATGGTACTCAGACTGGCTATGCACAAGAGAACGGCATCCGTGAGCTGGGAAAGCAGCCCTCTGCATAATACAATTGCTTCAGTGTTTTCCTGCATCAAGACTAAAGTGAAGATACGTCCCAAAAGCAAACCCGCCCCCACCCAAGCTGTAGACCATCACTACAAGACCCTTGCACCACATAAGAGGTTGCAGAGACCTTGCAACAGTTCTTCACGTCCCTCCTCAAGAAGGGTGGACTGAAAAGATTTGAGAATTCCCATTCTCTTTCGCTCTGGAGACAGCCTGAACCTTGCTCTTGGCGAAGAAAAGCAGGTTCTGCTGCACATAGCGTGCTGCTAAAACCAAAAAAAACAGGTCACGCCGAAAGCAAAAGAAAGAAATCGAGATACCAAACTGTTGGGTAAATCAAGGCTTTAAGTCTGAATAGGACTGCTATGAAGTTCAAAGCAATTTTCAAACACTAAGACTCTCAAATAGCCCGGTATGAAAGACAACAGAATCAGGCCTGTTTTTCTAAACAGATGAATAAACTAAGCACAAGAAGGTTGTGCAACCTGCTCAAAACCAATGGCTGATTCAGGAGCATCGTTTCAGAGCCCTTTGCTTTTAGAGTTTAAGTACCATCTAGCTGTACTTAGGGCTCCACAACAACCACTGTAGTATCATGCAAAAATTCCCATAAAGAAAAGAGGAGGGGAGACTTGGGAAAACTCATGCAAACTCTAGTTTTCACACTTCCAGCTTACAAAAACATTTTCCTTTGAATCAAACTGTCTGTCAAAACAAACTGGATTTTTTTCCCCTCATTTTCTGCCCTTTATTTTCTATGAACTTATTTTTTTTTTCCACTTTTCTAATCAGAACCCATTTCAGGGATTTTTGCCCTTTCATACAATAGAAAGCTTTGGTTACTTCTCTACAAGTGCTGGAAACTGAAGTTTGCAAGAAACCCATGTTTTCTCTTACAGTATGAAAGATATCTTTTTTTTATATATATAGAAGAGGGGAGACAGCTGGGCACAGGGAAAAAAAAAAAAAAAAAAAAGATGTGGTCTCAAGAACCCACCAGATACCATCAAATATCCCAAATAATATCACTAAAGTGTAAAAGCTGGTTGAATGTGGTATAATGCAAAAAATGAAAAAAGTTTAGTTTTGTGCTGAATGGCTTCTCCTACTTTCTGCACAGCTCAAAGTGGAACATCTTAAGATGAAGCTCCAGGACTGACTTTATTTACAGGGATAATTATTCCACTACTACTAATATTCATCAACTTATACTGCCCAAAATCCCAAGCGAAACTTCAGCAATGCAAACTTTCAAAGTTACCTTAACCGGTAACAGCAAGCTACCTGAAGATGCCGACCTACTACAAAACTAATCTCCATCTCCCAAGGAGACTTTCAAAGCTCCTGAGGCTGTCACTCAAGTTTCCAGTCAAACTATCTTAATTCTACCTGATACTCTTGTTCAGTATCTACCAATCCTCCTATTTTCCAAGTCTGGAAAAACATACAGAAACCAAGAGGAAGAGAAAAATCCAAAAGGGAAGTTAAATCAGCTGGTTTACAGTCCTTAAATACAGTACCATCTGAGATTTGTGTCAAGTCCTGTGTCATTTCCTATTTTATGCACATTAGCTTGCCTAGC